CTGTGTAAAATGCCTGATATTCACATATACACCAGCCTTCACTTTTCAGGGCAAAGTGAAAGATTCTTCACTTAAGAAGATTCTTCACTTAAGAAGATTCTTCACTTAAGGCCATACCTTTTAAAATGTGCAGCCTCTAAGTGATAATTCTTGGTGAACGTCATTGCCAGAACCACTGAAACTTAGCTAGCGGTTGTTGCTGCTGTTGCTCCTTTGCTAGTGAGTAGCAGAAGAAGTAGGGAGAGTAGGGTATTTGGGTAGGCAACCATGGAAAGAAAATTAAACAAACTATTACTGAATATCAAAAAAGCTTCTACAAGTAGAAAGCTAAAAAATGAAAGCTCAAACTTGCTCATAAATCCAATGCAGGTATCATTAATATAATAAAAATGCATATATATCACCTCAAAATGTATGTTTATTCAAAATGCCTTTGAAACATTTAATATGACTTCTCAATAATTTTATTAAAATAATTAACAGAAACATTGGAAAGCATATATAAACAAAAAATTGGAAAAAAAAAACATCTTTTTTAAAACCATCCAAATAACAACATTCTTTACAGCTACACAGTTGCAGATTTTTTTCTGAAAAAAATAGGAGCTTAAACTAAATTCGTTCTTTTAGCTAAAACATATTTGGAAGTCTTCCTACATTATTAAATGCAATATTTATTTGTAATCATTGTGTATTATCTAATTGCAGCAATTTATTTGAGTTTATTTAATCAATCCATGAATTCCCAGTATCTAAAATTGCTTCCACATAGTCCTGTAAAAATTTTGACCAAGGATTTAGTAGAAAGTATTTGGGAGGACAAGGGCAGCAGGGAGAGGAAGAGGATTTGAGAGGGCACACTAAATCCTGTGTCCTCCTAGGGCATATTTCTAGTTCCAATATCCCTGACTCACAATCATATAAAAAAGAAAAAAATATATATAAATGTATCCAGCCCGAACATCCAACTGATTTAAAGCCTTTTGATGACTCAGAGCACAGTTCCAGACATCAGAAATGAAATCTCAATCTGTGGCAGTTAAATGTTAAATAACTGTATTTCATTATTAATACAAATAATATTTTATTCATTTCATATACCAAAGAGATCAGAGTTCATTCATCCTTTCATTCATTAAACACAGCTATGACAGCCTTGCTCTGTCTCTAGAATAGGAAGAAAAGAGAAAAATGAATATCATCATTTTTCAGAGTGTGAAATAGGAAAGGGAGGAAATGTGGGTGGTCAAGTGACTCAGTCCAAGTAACTCCTATAGTCTCCTTTAGTGCTCAATTTCACAGGATTGCTCTAGCTCAGTCTGCCTCTTCTCTAACCAGGCTACTGTCATTCCTGCGCTCTGGCTCCCTGCGCATCCTGCATCCATCCCTTTGATCTTGCCATTCTTTCTTTGCAGAAGGGGAAAGCTACATGCTGACAAGGAAGACTCAACTCCTTATTAAACTTCCGTTTGTCTCCTTCCTGAGGGTTTTCCAAACCACATTCCAAGGTTTACTACTTAAAAGTAAGAGATATTTTGTGGAGGAAATAAAAAGACTCCCAGGCTTAAAAAAATCTGACAACCCTTTGAAAGTCTTACTTAAATAATTTTGATAGGTTTCACGATAGGATTTAAATATACGAATATGAAAATAACTTGGGAGCTTCTCAGTCTGGGTTTGGCCCCTTGTTTTATACACTTCAAGCACTTGATTCTACTCATTTGCAATATTATCCCATTTATAATTTAAATAATTATTTTTTTAGTTCATGTATCCCCCCCTAGATTATAAATTCTTTGAATATTCACTTCTATATTCCAGATTAATATATGGTAGTTTATGGCACAACATAGAAGCTATAAAATATAGGTTTAATGAGTAAATGACTAAATGGATCTTCAAGAGTAGGATAGATAGAATACGTAGTATTTCTGAGATATATTTGACTAGGGAACCCTTCTTTTGTGGAATGTCATAACATTTTACCCTATTTATTTTTCTACTTGAATCTGCTGCAGGTACTTCAGATCACCTTGTGTACAACATCCAGTTGTCCTTTTCTGTTCCCTGTGTTTGGAATGGGACCACCAGTGCACTGAGTATCAAAATCAAGACTCAAAGATCATCCTTAACTGCTCTCATCCTCATCTACATTCCATTAAGTCCCAGCCCTTTTTGCTTCTACATCTCTTTATCTGCTGTTTCTCAACCCTATTTTCAAGACGTTAGTCCAAGGCAAGAAAATACATTGCTCACAATAGTCTTGTAACTGGATTTTCTTGCTCTCCCGCAATGACTTGCATCACAACAATTGAATTTTTGTCATATTAATCCTTTGTTTAAATTATTAATAGACTTAAAAAAAATTTGTATAAATCTGTGCTTACCTTTCGATTTCACTTTTACACTCTTTGAGTTACTCTACACTCTAGTTCTACTGATGTTTTTGATTCTCTAAAGCCAGCATGTTCTTGTTAGCTCCTGATTTCAGGACTGTCACATAAGGCCTCACAGCTGTGCACTGCATGGCTCCAAGACTGTGAATTGAGTGAGGTCCCCAGTCCCCTAGAGATGGGCAGCACAACTTCCCTATCTGATAACTCATTGTTTTCTTTTCTTTTTTTTTTTTTTTTTGCATCATGGAATCTTTTCTGACTCTTCTTGTTTCTTTTCTTATTTCTGATTAGCTAGCTCATACCCACTCTGATCGTTGGGCACCTCTGCTTTGTGTTTCCAAAGCATACTTATATTTCTTCTGTCACAGTGCTTCTTACAGCTGTCTCGCTATTTTTTTCCCTCTATCTAGACTGGAAGAACGGTGGAAACCAGGCCTCTTCTATTCCATTTGTTGGATACTGAACATCTGGCTAGTGCCTAGCAGGGTCTGCATCTTCAGGGTATTTGTCTTTGCTGTTCCCTCACCTGCAATGCTCTTTCCCTCATCTCCAAGGCTCTCTTCTTCACCTCCTTTCGGTGTTGGCTCAGGTATCACCTTCTCAGGTCTCTGACCACCTTATGATGCCACCTCCCCCATCCCTATCTTCCTTTCTTGCTGTATTTTCTCTCTGTCCCATCTAAGCTGAGTGGGAAAGAGCAGAACTGCCAGGTTTCAGAGTGGTCAACCAGCACAACAAATCAAAATGAAAGTAACAAACCTTTTATCACCTATTGCTGTACTATAAAAGAGAAACTAAATCAGAGAAGGCACAGACCTTGCCACAACCCCCTTCATTCCATTTTCTCCTGTGGAAGGGCACCCTGGTTGAGGGTCAGGTGGATGAGCACAGATGTGAAGGTTGTCTCACTGCTGAGGAAGACTGGAAAAAATTCCTGCAGTTTTATAGACTGGGAGGCTGGCAGAGACAGGAGGGGAAAGGACTAGGAATGGAAAACTGTTGAGTATAGGCGATCCCCAACTTTTGACAGTTTGACTTATGATCTTTTGACTTGCAGAGAGGTTTATTGGAGTATTAAATGCATTTTACACTTAGGAAATTTTTGTCTTATAAAATTTTCAACTTATTTGGGGTTATCAGGAGGCAGCCCCATTGTAAGTGGAGGAGCATCTGTGCTGAGTCAGTGTGGAGAACAGAATCTTAGAGATCCCTCATCCCTCCCCCTGATGAGGAGAAAGCCTCTCCTGAAGGCCCCAAGGAAGGAGGCCTTAGAATGAAGGTTCTTGGGGTAGGAACTTGGTTATGCTTGAAAGTGGGGCTGCCCAGGGGGCCTGAGACCTGGACTGGAGCTTTCTTCAGAGGCAGCGATGAACTGGCTGTGCCAAGTCAGGTGTGGGGACAGCAGCTTTCCCACTCAAGGCCTTGCAGGTAGAGCCTTTGTAATTACCTATGGCTGGGCTTGAAAAGTCACACATACATTTTTAGCCAGGGCTCAGACTCTCTTATTTTGTTAGCAGTTATCACTTTTAACATACTATCTGTTACAGCTATATATTTTATTTGTTTTCTGTAACTTTCCATTAGAATATAAGTTTCATGAGGGCAGAGGAATTTTGCTGTTTGCTGTTTTATCATGAATTGCTGTAGTTTGGACATGGTTTTGTTTGACCACTACAAGCTTCATGCTGAAATTTTATCCCCAATGTTGGAGGTGAGAGCCTAATGGAAGGTGTTTGAGTCATGGGAGTAGATACTTCATGAAGGGCTTGGCGTAGTCTTCTTGGTAATAAGTGAGTTCTTGCTCTATCAGTTTCTATGAGAGTTAGTTGTTAAAAAGAGCCTGGCACCTTCCTACCTCCCTGTCTTGCTTCCTCTCATGCAGCTCCCTTCACCTTGTGCCATGAGTGGAAGCAGCTTCAGATCCTCACTTCTGCCCAATCCTCTAGCCAGCAGAATCATGAGCCAAATACAGCTTTTTCCTTTATAGATTACCCAAATCTTAGTAAATGGACTAAGACACTAATGTATAGAAAAGTGCCTGGTACAAGGTAGGTAATTAACAAATATTTGTTCAGTGAGTGAATTAGTTTTACTTTATATGCATATTTATATCTTTGCAATTAAACTATAAATTTCTTTGTGGATTGAGACCTTGTCACATATTTCTTTCTAAATGTATATCCTATTTCTCAACCAGATAGTATAGTTTAAATGTTAAAACTGTTCATCTGTAGATTCATTTGTAATTTTTACCCTGCATCTTAAGATAACACTTTAGAGTTACAGTGGCTAAGTCTTATCCTTTATTTTGCAATTTGAAATATTTTAAAACAGCTACCCTAACTTTCTCTTTTCCAAGTTAAATCTTCTTCCCCTCCTTGACCATTTCTCATATGACAATGAAGTTGTGATGGCTAATTTTATGTGTCAACTTGTCTAGGTCACTGTAGCCAACTATTCGGTCAAACATTATTCTAGATGTTTCTGTGAAGGTACTTTATAGACGTGATTAACATTTAAATAAGTGAACTATGAGTAGAGCAAATGAGGGAGGGCCTTATTCAATAGCTGAAGGCCTTAAGAAAAACTCCAACCCTTCCCAAGGAAGAAGAAATTCTGCCAGTAGACTGACTGCCTTTGGACTTGAACTTCATCATCAACTCTTTCCTGGATCTACAGTCTGCATAACGATCTGAGCTAATTCTTTAAAATTTCTCTCTTTCTGTCTCTATTTGTCTCTCTCTCCATGTCTCTCTCTCTCCATTCATACACACACAGAAACACACGCACACATCATACATCTTATTGGTTCTGTTTTTCTGGAAAACTTTGACTAATATATGAGTCTTGTGATTTCAATATTCTGCTTATTCTAGAATCACTTTAATCTATCAGTGTTCCACTTAATTAATATATGGTTCCAAAGCAGATGCAGTACTCCAATGCACTTTATCAATGAAAGGTACAAGGGACTCCCTTGCTAAACACTATCCTATGAAAATGCAATATATATTTGTTGGATCATATTAAATCTCTTATTTAAAAAATTGCCTCACTTAAGCATTTGCCTTGTGCCAGGAATTATATTACAACATGTTAATATGGAACTACAAGGTACAGCTCCATTTCTCAAAGGACATGGATATTTTTTTCCTATTCACAATCTCTGCCATTGTATGTGTATAAGGTTGACTTTTAAACTAAAGTGTTGGATTTATCTTCTAGAATTCCTTCTTGCTCAATTTGAAACACTGTTTTTTTCCCCTCATCTTTGGCTAAATTTATCTATTTCAATGCTCATAATAAAACAATTGATTTTTTAATCATGATTCTATCTGTCATCTAATGTTTAACTACCTCTCCAAATTGATATACATCTTTTCTATGCCTATATCTATTTTTACTAAAATTCTGAATAAGTCTCATAACAGGTTAAAAATGAACCACATAATTATTGTTTGAGCATAATTGTTCAACTAATACATAGCCACAAAATTTGCAAAAATCCTCTCCATATCTATTAATATTTTGTTCACAAAGACAACAGAGCACTACATTACATGCCTCATTGAAATGCAGATTCACTGTGTCTATATAATTTAATTAATTTGCTATAATTTATTCTTAGTGAACTTAAAGTGGCTCTTGGTGATTGCCTCTTCCTTTTCTAGGTGTTCATGATCCAGCTGTTTAATTATACGTCTGAGAATTTTGCTGGGAAATAATGGAATCTTTGATGATGTGTATTTTTGGTATGTGCATTTAAATTTTACATGGGAATCAGAAAAATATTGACCTCTATACCATTCATTTACTAGTACTCTTTTCAGTCACCGTGATTATCCAGATACTGCTTACATTGATGCTGTAATTATAGGAGGAATAGGAGTTGCCTTGTGGAACCCAAAGGCAGGAATGTAATTATATTTCAAAAATCGACCACGTATTAGTCTACTTGCAGGGAACCCAGCAAGTTTTCTCCATCTGTTGTCTTTCTCTTTTTTCTAATCTTTATTTATTTATTTTTACAGAGAAAATTTATATATTTCCTAGTTCAAATAATATACAATGGCCAATGTCAATAAACTTTGAAATGTATAACCTTTCTATTTCAGGAAGTGGCTCATTTTGGGCTGAAATCTCTTATTCCAAATTCCATGTAGAAAAAATATTTGTTTCACTTAGGTAAGATTTCAATGCCTGGATCAACCAATATTGTTAGGAAGTGTAATAATATTGTGTGCACGTGACTTTTCTGTTATCACGTGAATGGTAGGAGGTAGGGTGGGATTTCAAGAACTAGAGGTGAAGTATAGGCAACCCAGAAAATATCCACTTTACATGGTGGCTCATTTAGATATCCAAGAATGAGAGGCACAGGGCAGCGTGGGCACGTGAGGCCTGGAACTGGAAAACCAGTATCTGAGGCTCCTTCTTGTGCCGCCTAGGCTGTCTGGTCTCTCACTCATGCCTTTCTCTGTATGCATGCCTCATGCTCTTTCTGCTCTCAGAGTACTTGTATTCCTTGACTACTCATGGTCTTTGCTTCTCCATGACATCAGTGTGCAAATAGCTTAGACTTGTCATAATGCTGGCCCTAGCCTACTTTAAAGAGCATCTTCACTTGTACTGCTGACCTTTGTCCGACTAGTTACTCTTGCTGAATCTTTTAAGAGACAGAATCTAATTAGTTACTAGCGGATGGGCTGGGGATGATTTCTAGGTTCCTATTGCTGAGAAGGGGACAGAGGCAGGACAAGCATATTGATGTACATTTTTGTTACTATAGAATATAATTTATTCATGGACATTTACATTTGCCTCTTATTATAGGTGCAGTCATCTAGTTATCTTTCATTCAAATTTGGTTTATGCTTACTTGCATAAAGATAAATTTTCATCACAGAAAAAATGAAGACTAACTACTTACACTTATCTGTTTTTGGTTAATATGAAATAATCAGCTTCAAGCACTGAAATGAGTCATTTTTCTTTTTTAAAAAGTGCCTTGTATCAGGCTGACAGATCTTTCTATCATCTTTAATTATTTTAATAAATACATACTCTATATCTCTGGACTCTCCTTAACCTCTTTGCACCTCAGTTTTCTCATCAAGAAAATGGATATAGAAACACTTTTCTTAACATCATCTGTGTAAAGAACCAAGCAGCTTGTTTCCATATAAAAGATGTTCAAACTACAGGAATCCTCTCCCTGTCTCACTATTAGAGTGCAGGAAAATGTATGTTGTTACGTTAATTTCTTTAATATACTTTCTCCTTTTGTCTCTATCTCCCTGAAGCCTTTTTTCATTTTCTTATCAGAATGTTTTTTCAAGACTTCCAGTCCTTTTAAAAGACTAAGGTTATGAAATCACTCAGATCTACTCTCTAAAATTTTTGAAATCTGCTTTTCTAAAGTCCAAGGTATCTGTCAGACCGTGCTGAGTGTTTCCTTTCTTAGCTATTTCAAGCTCTAAGATGACAAGTTGACTTTTTCCCAAGGTTCCTGTCACTTGAATTTCATGAACCAGTTCTATCTTTTTGGTCAAAGTTAAGTTCAGAGAAACATTCTCAGTCATTGCTTCATCAACTAACTGAGAAATGAAATTTTCTACAAAGTGAGACTTCTAGCACATGTCTAGTTCATTGACATCTCAGCTCTAGCCTGCCTATATCTAGTTTATTCCCACATCGAAATCATTTACGCCTCTCACTCCTTTAATCCTCAGCATGGTGTAGTTCACTGTTTCTCAAACTGCATTTAGATGATGCAATTTCATGGTACAGGGATACTCTATGAGAATTTTAAATTTTATGTGTTTTTTTAAAAATTTTAATGCTAAAAGTTAATGTAATCACATTTTGGATTATGATTTCAATCCCTGGATTTGCATAAGTATTTATGATTCTGTAGACATCTATTATCACTTAAAATGACACTATTTAACATTATTGTGCTGCCATTAAGATGGTATGTTTTAATGTCAAGATAAGAACAATAACCTCATGTACATTGTTGCTGAATTATTTTTCCTGTTATAACACATAATTCCTTTATTGCAAAGTAAATTTGCAACTAAAAGACATTTTCATAAAATAAAACTATAGTTTCTTAAGTTTTTCAGTAGATTAAAACAATGATTTGACCTCGTGAAAGTGGCAGTGCAGTATTAGTTCAAGTGTCTCTGGCTGATGAGAAAAAAACAGAGAGGTGGACTCAGTATATACATAATGATGCATCCTCAGCACATGAAAGCTATGCTGTTCTGTGGGAATAAAGGTGCCACAGAGTTTGAAGAAAGAGAGTAGAGGAAGAGTTGAATTAGCACAGGGAACAGACAAAAGAACTTAAAGCAGAACAGTACTTTCATATCTATTTTGATTTAATTTCAGAAAAGCAAATTATCACCTGAAATAATTTGGATGTTGTTGGTTGTATTGGTCCTTGCTTTATTTTAGACTATACCTTGTAAGTTTTAACTTTATAACTATGGTAGCATTGGGTTAGGTGTTAGAGATTAAGTGGTGTGTATAAGAAATTCCTATTCCTATCCCAGTGGAACTTTCCTGGCAAAGTTGGGAACATCATTCAAGCCCGTGACTGCTGCCATGGTGCTTTTTTTATCTCATGGTGTTGTGTTGTTTCCCGAGATGACACGTGAGTGATGCAACAGCGTTTCATGCCCCTCCCATCACTTAGACAGCTGCTCTGCACTAAGGATTCTAATATTAAGCTTTGTGGTTACAGCAAAAGGGTTGAGTTTGAAATTTAACTACCTCTGAGTATAGGTTTATTTAAGAAAAAGTCATAGAGCAGCCAGATGCCCGTGTGGGTAGCTGCAGATTGCATGTGAGAGTACAGGGGAAGAAGATGAGGTGGAGGTGAAATAATAAAAGATGTGTCAGGAGGGAAGAGAAGAGGAGAAGGAAAAAAAAGAGGGTACAAAGGAAGATGAGAAGGAAAGAAAAAAAAGAGAAACAGGAGTGAAAAATTCAAAGGGAATATGAAATCAATATTAACCATATAACCTAAAATAACTAAACAATAGAACATAGTTAATTAGATTAAGATAGAATATATACTTGCTTTTTAATATTTATTTCATTTTCTTCCAACTTCTTGATTTTTTGTCACTGAATAATGTGTTACAGTAATTTATTGTAGAGTCAGTAATATGAAGTAATTATATTTTATGGTATGCAGATATTAGTTAAAAGTTCAAAAATACATATACATATGGTAATAGCATTTGATGAAAAGACAAACGTTTTTAGAACTTAAAATGTGACATTTATTGTCAAAAAAGCAAGTTTCAATAGATACCAATTAACACTTGATTCTGATAATGGAATAATGTACTTTAAAATTTTATTTAGCTTTCCAATTAATCACCTATAAAATTAAAAGAAGATATATTTTATATAAAACATTGTAGAATATAAAAGTAGAAAAAAAGGAGTGCATGTAGGAAAAGTTCAATGGAATAAAATAAAACATATCAATTATCATAATAAGTATGAATAGGATTAATTTATTTATTAAAACACACAATCCTAGTTAAAATCAAATATTTTAAAGAATATAACCATATTCTGTTGCTAAGAGTGGAAAACAAAGTGATTAAAAATATAAATATATTAAACAAGCAAAAACTATTACAAATTGAATTTGTATTAGAAATAATAA